TCTTTTTTTATAATTTAAACCCAAGATATTTATATATTGAACTTGCATATCTCTGCAACTAGTGCAATGGAGTGTGGCTATTTGCCCAATGGCATGTGCAACACATTGCCCCTTGTCTTTGTGGCCCAAAAAGGGTTTCCTAACACTTTTTTTTTTCATGCAGAGTCATCCACCAGCAAGCTCCTATAGAAATAAGACTATAGATAATTGGGATGATATTTGTATTCTCTTTGGATCGGATAGAGCATTAGGCAAGCGGGAAAGAAATCCATGACGTTGTTTCAAAAGTGGATGGCATACTTTGTTAACAAGTGTTGAAAGCTGTTAGAAGTTTATGAATATGCCAGATGAGTTTCAAATGCTCAAGGATTGCCTGAAGACGAGAAGCTAGATTGGATTTTGTTATGTTTGGAAGAGTGATCGAGTTATGAACAACTACGCAATATTAAATATTTACTACAAATTAATACTTTTTCTAATTGTCATACATTAGTATGTATTTTGTTTATGAAACAATTGGTCATTATCTTATTTGAGATTATGTTTACAATATTTTATTCATTAAAGATTTGAAATGAAATTCTAGTACTTGCCAAACAACATCAGAATTTGAATTCTAGAATTGAAATTATGAATTTCCCAAACAGCATTTGGATTTGAAATTATGAATTTTGAATTTCTTGTGTTTGCCAAACACCAAAATGGAATTTGAATTATGGAATTTCAAATTATAGAATTGAAATTCAAAAATTGAAATGAATTCCACTATCCAAACACTACCTAAAATCATTCATAAAAAAAGTCTTCATATATGGTAGCTTTTCAATATTCATTGACCATTTTAAGAAAATAATTTCTGGTAACTTTTAAAACTTGATATTTATATATTTGATAAATTTGCACAAATATATTTGATATTACAAACAATTACTTTATTTAAATTAATTTAACTCGTATTTCATTTATTTGACTATTTTAATCTCTTTTTACTTCTTTAGAAAATTGTTTATTATAACCTTTAGAAGTTGTCAAGTTGATATTTAAATATTTGAGTAGTTTAACTCAGTATATTTGATATTACAAAAATATTATGGACTTTTGAATTCAATAAACATTAAGTAAATGAATGAAATAAAAAAATATAATTTCAATAAAAATTAAGTGAATTAATCATAAAAAAGACACTAACAATGATATAAAAGTTTTTTAAATAAAATATGAAATTTTTTTAAAATTATTAATTTATTATTTTTTATGAGAGTTTATTTAGCTAAAATTGAACTTAGATTAACAAAATTTTGACTAAACTAATATAACTAAAAGTAAGTTACACAAAAAGAAATTGAGTAAATTTTCAAAATGGTTCTTTTTAATAAGAAATTTTTCCAAGTCAGTTCTCAATAACTAATAATTACTTACGTAGTCTTTTCTTATTTAATATTTTCCGAAATGGTTTTTTTCTTATCACATGAGTGGTTAAATTCTAAATGGAGTTATATTGGTTTTGATACATTTTATTTTTCTATATCATATTTTTTTAGATTCTTCAAGTGCACGGATTATTCTAACATCAATAATCAATTATAAATAGACTGAAATAATTAAAATTATAAAACACAAAAAAATATCATGACTTCAAACAAAAGAGTTAAAAACACATGGATAAAAGAGATTCAATTAGTAAAAAAATAAAATAAAATAATTTTCCAAAAATAAAAAAATATATTCACATTTGATATGTTTCACAAAAAAACTTATTTTCTTAAAAATTAAAAAATTACATTTATTTTATAACTGAACTTTCCTGGAATTGTCAAATGATTTTATTTTAAAAAAAGTAAAAGATGACTCATAATTACAATTTTTTTACATAAAAATTTATAGCTAAATTCAGATTGTATGACTTAGGTATCCTTTATATATAAAAATCAGATTTAAATCTCTAGAAACTGAACATGTTGTATATATTGTTTATGTGATGTTTTTTTGAAACTTAATAACTATTTTTGACATGGAAAATAATAAAGTAATAGTTTGATTTGAAATCAATGAGTAAAGTTAATTATGGGAAAAAGATCTTCATTTATATGATAATATTCTTTCTTAGTTTATTTTTTTCTCTTCATTTATACCAAAATTTCAAAATAATAAATAAGATACTCTCTTCAACTCTTAATAAATTTCATATTTGTTTATGAGATGTTTAAATGATGAAGTTAGATTTGATTTTATTATTTGAATATTGATGTAAATTTCAAAAATGAAAATATTTTAAAAACTATTATTAAATTTTACTCGCTCTGCTCAAAATAGTTTACCTCTTTATTATTACAGCATCTCGATAACTTTTGTTAGTTTGCATATTTTCATTGATCATTTGATAAAACAAAACATTTTTGTAACCTCCCACTTCTTATTTTATAGAATTTTTGATATAATTTTTAAAAATGTAATTTTTATTATCTGATATACCAATTTATAAATTCATGAGATTTTGCACGTTGTTCGAATAAGAAATATACTTCAGAATGGAGGAAGTATAAAATAAGGGATGATTGAACTATAAAAGTGTTAAGTAGAGAAAACGATACTATATATAATTTGATCATTCGATTGAGT